TAGTAGAGGAAGAATGAAGCTGGTGTGTTTCCTGCAGCGAGACACTAAACTAATTGTGGGCTTATCATGTTGATTCGACCAGAAAAGAAGAAGAAAAAGAACTCTCGCTCTCTCCAGAGGGGCAGGTCAGCCAAAAAGGGGAAACGGGCCGTTGCCCGGGCAACAATAGCCCGTAACTGTTCACGTCCCTGGTGAAGACTATATAAGTGTAACTGTCTTTCTGCTGCTTTTATCAGCAAACCTTGTGTGTGTGAGTTGAACCATCTCTCTATGTAATTGAGCTCTGCTCCTTCTCGCAAGAATACATTTGGACCTGATCATTGATTCTCAAGCCGAACAATTCTAATAAAACATATTCAATATATATTATTCTGAAATGGGCCAATCTGCATAATGAGTGCTTTTACTTTTGGTGCTTTTTGTAATGGAAACTTCTGAAGCAATGGAGACAAATCTCAGCTGGAGCTTGATGGCAGAAACTGATGGGGGGAAGTTGCGGTCCGGAGAATTATCATGACGTGTGAGTTGATACAGGGGTTGCCGAACCAATTCTGAAGATCTGTCCCTTAGTCGGAGTTTTTAACTAGTTCAGAGTGTATAATCAATAGTCTCCATTAGCAAGACAAGTGTGGACACTAAATCTAACTAAAACTGCCGTCCATGGCCAAAGAATGTATGCCAGTGGGACCTACGCACCTGATAAGAAGGACTTCGAGATATCCCTAAACAATAAATTATCTCAGGTCAGCTTGTGCTCGGTCCTGAACTGGCAAAAAAGAAAAAAGCCAGAGCAGTTCCTCCCTAAAGGAGATAGCACTCCCCAAGGCCGAAGACCTATGCCATGGGAAAGGAGACAGAGGAAGGAGAGAATGATGAACTGTGTCAAAGGTTAAACACCTAAACAAAAATATTCCCCAACACTTTTAAGTATATTTTAAAGCTGGTCATTTTGTACTTTTACTTGAGTGGCATTTTGAATGCAGAAATTGTACTTGTAACAGAGTATTCCTACACTCTGGTACATCTACTTTTACTTAGACAAAGGTAAAACATTTCCACCTCTGTATACAATGCTATACTCTAAGTATTTGTTTTTGAGCTGCCATTAACATCCTGTAGGGGCCAGCACTCCGCCTGAGATGCTTGTGTTGTGTTCTTTTTTCACAGAAGAAGAAATGTTTCCAGATGACTATTTTGGAAAGCTGATTTTCAAGCTTTCTTTCTGAAAAATACGATTTGAATTTGCTACAAACATACACAATTTAGTCTGTGTGTATTTTTAGAGCCTAGACTGCAACTCATTTGTTTCAGTTTCTTTTATTTAAATTAAACTCTAACGATGCTTTTATTATGAAAGTTTCTGCTGTTTAAAAACATGGAGGGAAAATCTTCAGGCGAGTTTGCACTGACGCTGATATATGTAGATAAATACTAACTGATAGAGTCTAGTGTTTCTTTATTTCACCAAACTGTGTGGCTGTCTTATTGTTGAACCGGATGTGTCGGGATGCAGAGCTCAGACGGAGCAGAAAAGTCTCAACAACAGAGGCTGGTTTTCTTCGACTTGGAGACAACTGGACTGAGTAAGATACCTCCATGAGACTTTAAATGGACTTATGACCTGTTTTCAGACAGATACAAGTGTATGCTTCTGCTTTAAAGTTGCCATGTTTTGTCAGGATAACTTCTGAGGTAGACAAATCACACTGGACACTTACTGCATAATAACCTTTAATTTAGTTGTATTGTCATCACTACAAATTGAATGAACGAGTTATCAGTTTACAGGCAGTTTGCATAATGCCTACTCGATCTTACCCTCAAGCTTGAGATATTATAAATGATGTCTGTTTAAAAGTATTACATAAATGTTGTTATAGTTTATGACTTGACACTAGGGCTGCAGTTGGTTTCAGTTTGATCCATTTTCTTGATTGGATGAAAATGTGGCTTCAATCAGAGCTTTTCTCATTCCTTTACATCTCCATTGTGAAGGGCCCATCTGAGCAATGTAGAGCTGCAACAATTAGTCAACTTACTGATTAGCCAAAGAATCAATTAGTTAATAATTGCTAGCTAGTTAATAGTCAATTAAACCTTTATGTAATATTCATGGCAAAATGGCAGAAAATGTGTTTTTGGTCATTTCAAATAAGGAGTTTTCCTGCTTTCGGATAAGTCAGACATTAAAGACGTCACCCTGAACTTTGAGAAACTGGCATTGACAGTCTTCACCATTAATCTGACATTTTGCAATGAATCTAGAAAATAATCATCAAGGATAGCCCTTTGACAATGTTGCCCATTCAATTTAATGTAGTACATTGACTGGTGAGGTGTTTTATTTTCTGAATCTTATTGATTGACTGTTTCTAAATTGATTTTCAAGATTATTTATCATCACAAAAAGGCCTAGCATGAGATATAGTAAGATTTTACCCATATATCCCTTGCCTAATTAACACAGTTTTAGTTTACCTAACAGTCTGTAATTCATCAAAGCTCCACCTGTAGGCCTGATCTCCGTGCAGTGGGTTGTGTGTAGGTACTTGGTTCAAACCCCACTGCAGTCAGCATGTCGTTGTGTCCCTGAGACACTTCACCCCAAATTGCTCCTGTGGGGATTGTCCACAGTATTGAGTATGTAAGTTGCTTTGGATAAAAGCGTCTAACAAGTAACATGTAATGTAATGTCATCTCCAGTAATAATTTCCCCTGATGCTCTCCTGTGTGTTTCCCCCAGGTAAGAGTTGTGAGATGGTCCAGCTGGCTGCAGTGAGTGGAGGTCACTCCCTCAACCTGTACCTCATCCCTCGGGGTCAAATGCAGCGAGGAGCGTCCAAAGTGACCGGCTTCAGGGTCCGCAGACAGAGGCTGTACCTCCATCGCCAGCCTGTCTTCACCAACACCCTGCGAGAGGCCCTGGTCTCCTTCATAGCTTTCCTCCAGATGTTCGGACATCCTCTCGTCGTCGGCCACAACATCCGCCGCTTCGACTGCCCCGTGCTGGCCCGAGCTCTGGAGGAACTGGACCTCCGGGCAGAGTTTGAGGCCGCGGTCTCCGGCTATGTGGACACTCTGCCTCTGGCCCGGGAGATGCTGAAGGAGCGCGGTCTCAAGAGTTTCCGACAGGAGAACCTGGTCAGGGAGCTGCTGGGTGTGAACTACAAGGCCCATGATGCTTTGGAGGATGTGCGGGCTTTGCAGGCTCTGTATAGTGTGCTTCAACCCACACCAGAGTTGATCTGTAGGCATCTGTTCACCCTGGACACCATGAAGGACAAACCAGCTGCTCAGTCTAAAGAGCCAAAAGGACAGCGCCCCCTGAGGGAGAACGTCAGACAGACAGCGAAGATCACAGAGAGTAAAGAGGACAAAGCCACACAGGAGAACATGTGAAAACATCTGGACGTTTTCATTACACAAAACAAGATGGCTGCTGTTGTTGTGAAGCTGTCACTTTCCTCAAATGCTTCATGGTGGAAGTTGAACAAATGAAAGACTGACTTCACTTCAGTGTATCAAAAAGAAAAATGAACTGCAGCGCAAATGGGATTATACCACGGTGATTTTGAAAGGTGAGAGAAGTGAACACTGTCGACAATGCATGCACAAAGTCCTACTTCTGTGTTATGCAGCACTAAACAAAAAAGCACTGAAACCCTCCAGATTAAGGTGCGATTAGTTGGTTACCATTAACAAAAACATGCACTGACATTTATTGCACAGTACCTACCTGATTGAGACAAAAAAAGATGTTGCATTTATGGGAATCTTAGGAGGGTTGTTGACATTTGTGTTTGCTATTCTTCAACATTAATATTTATATTATTTTGTAACTGAAAATGTGTTATCTGTTTTTATCTGAATTTACTTCAAAGTTTCCATGGGCTCTACATATTATGAATTAATCTGCTAATAAATGTATTATATTTCTACAGTGTGTCCAGAATGCTATGCAACATGTTTGGTTAGTGCTTTGTAAATACGTGAATATTTTAGAATAATGGATTAATATGATACAATTGCAGTCTAAGAGTAGTACACAGTCATTTTTTATAATTTCCCATTTCTAATTTTAAGCAAGTTCACCGATCTTAGGAAATGTTTGGCGCTCACTACGAAATACACAGCAGATTAGATTGCCTCCACACAGCTCTCAACATAGCTGCTAGATCAGCGACAGCTAACGGTTGGTACACATTTACTTATAGAAATGAGTAATACCAAACAGGCCCGTAATGATTTGTTAGCAGTATTGTAAGATTTCACTTCAAACTGTGCAGACGCAATAAAAGGAGTTCAGTTGTAGTAATGGAACAAGGCTTTATTAAACCACTTCTACACACACATGTTATCTGCAGTCCCAGGCATAACCATATTTAAAAACCCTAAACCATGCCGTTACTAGAGAAATATTCCAAAACTATAATTAAACCACTTCAGCGTCGTGTGCATTTTAAGGACAGGAGGTCAAAGTGGACAAAACAAACGTGTGGACATACAGTTTTTAAAACGACAAGGTGACTCAAAACAAGATCATTAACAACGATGTGAGAATCTAAAATAAAAGTTAAAACTCAATTCGTATTTAAATCAGTGATCTCTACACGATTACTAAATAAAAATATGTTTTGAAAAGATGGAAAAAAAGTTGGTTTGTTAACAAAAAAACGTCTTAAAGTTTAGAGCTACAGGAAGAGGAAGTTAAGGAAGGGTTCCTTAATTAAGAAGACCATGATTTTAACTTAAAACCTCCCAAATATTCTTCCTTTTTCCCACAATTTCAACAACAGACAAATAAAAGGTTTAGTGCACATACATCAGGGACAAGCTTAGAAATCAACCCACATCACTTACATGGTCATAGGTAAAAGCATTAACCAGCATTGGATCAATTCACTGTCATTCATTCAAACCACAAGAGAGATATTTACTCACTGGCAGGCAGTTACAGCATTCACTCAAATAATTCATTCAAGAAGAATCCACTTCATTGATTGACTTAATTCAGATTGACCCTGATACAAACTGGAATATTATGTGGAAATTTGCACCATACTGAAATAACCTACTTACAATATTCTACCAACATGTTGGATCACCACATAACACACAGGTACAACCTTACAATACGGTATTGTTCAAGGGTCAATTTCACTTATTATCGAGTAATAATGAATCAGTACAAACAACAAAACATGCAACGTCTGTAGAAAATCCAGCTTCACACACTCAGAAATACAGACGTGTTTGTTACGATATTCCTATAAAACTGAATGCAGCATTTTGTGGTACAAGATTTGTGTTAACGGGCTTCAGTCAAATTGTACATGTAAGCATCGGGCAGCAGTCGTGCATTTTCACTCATGAGTAACTATAAGATGTAGTTAATGGGACGGTGATGGTTAACGGCCCTCTTTGTTACTGTAGTTTTTAACTTTATGATTGTTTTATACTTTGAAAATAAGTTTCCACACCGTAAACATGCACTGGTAACAGTTTAAAGCAGTAATACTTTCCAGGGTAAACTTCACTGACACTCAAGATTACATTTGTAAGCTACTAAATCCTGTGTCAAATGTCCTTTTTAGTTTACTATCATATTTAGCCAGGCACATTTTAGTCCGAACTTTCTAAGGTTCTTATCAATGAAAAGCTCAAACTGATATTTCAGTCAATCTAGTTCAGCCAAAATATCCTCTCGTTTCCTTCTCACAAGTCCTGGTTTGCCCTTGTTAACTTTAACTTCATTAAGTTATTCTCCCTCCTGACAAAGACTGAGAAACCCAACAGCTGTACAGAAGAACATAAGGGTCACATCTTTTTCTAATTCTGAGAAAAAAGTCAGAATGGTTTTGCTCAAATTCTGACTTAAATCTCAGAATTTCTCTTAAAATAAATTAGATTTTCTTCTCAGAATTTTGACTTCAGTCTCACTCTCACTTTTGGCCAGATCTAAAAAACTTTAGATTTAACATGTGGCCTTAATCATCGTCCATACAGCTAAAAAATGTTTTGAGCTGTATGGACGATCTTAAAGGAGATGTTGGTAAAGCTAACTAAATGTATCCCCGGTTGAGATTGAAGGCCCCTCTCCGGTCTTACTGCTCAAAATCAAACATGCACAGGCATCTCAGTGTTGCACTATATACCCTTAACTTTTCTATCTATGTATTTTAACCAGGTCTGGATATTTACTAACTGAGAAAGACTGCTGGTTCATATATCAGACATGCTCAGTCCTCAGGTGGTTCTGCAGGTGTACAAAGCAGTGAGTGATGGTGGTGTTCTGCACCTCTGTAAACATGTCCTCCACCCTGCTTCAGTTCTGTTAGAAAGTATTATAATAGGATAAAAACGTGCAGCTGTAAGTGTTTTATGACTAAAAAGGAAGTATGTCATAAACACTGAAGAAGGACCAGTTTTAAATTAAGCATTGACAATATTTCTAGGATTATTTCATAGCTATTTGGACTCACACTACCATCAGTGGATGGAGCTTGATCAGTTGTGAAGTTTTGTTTTGGCCCAAATGTTTATTTGCTGTTCTAGACGATTCTGTATGATTTTCATGATCAGAAAGTGTTGGCCTAGTTGTCGTTGAATTGCACATTTTCATTTCTTCTGACTATTGAAGTCCCTTTACGCTCCAGAACAGCTACCACACCACATAGACCTTTATACTGTGAATTTAGAAGAGAACATCCTATGTTTTTTTTCTATAAGATGTAAATTGCACCGCTCCAGGTAAAAAAGACAATTCAAATCAGCTGTGGACTTTAAAGCTAAAGAACACTGCAGGTTGGTTTTAGGTGGGAGGGGGTCTCTGTGTCTGAAAGCTGCTTTAATGTACTACCTACTGTGAGGTGCAGGGGGATCATTGGGCTCAATCCTGATCGCAGCGTAGATCTTCACACACACACACACACACACACACACACACACACACACACACACACACACACACACACACACACACACACACACACACACACAGAGGAAGCCTTCACACACACACTGCTTCGGACTGGCAGCTACAGGAGGCAGCAGGCCCGGAACATGGTCATCCCTGAGGGGCATGTGACGTGCAGGGAGACACTCTCATTGGCCG